GTGCTGGGGATTCCTTGTATATACCCTAAACCCTAAAGCCTAATACCCCAAACCCTGAAGCTTAATACCCTAAACCTCAACCCCATTTCAGGGTCCCAGTCCAGCTATTGCTGCTTCGCTACATGTCTCGGGCCGGAGTCTTAGGGTTTAGGGTTTAGGGGCTGCTTTAGGGTTATAGGGTTTAGGCTGTATGAGTTCTGGCCTTGATTGAAGCAGATCGTAGAGCATGCTAGGATCCCCCTTCACATTCGAGCAGTGTAAGGCGTCATATCTGCCGAACTTTCGGATTGTAGAGACCCCATCTTCTTCAGTTCAACTAGCAGAAACACAAAACCCGGCAGCTGGAATCAGCCCTGCCTCCTTCTTGTCGTACTCCGTTTCGCGTTCTCGGATAAGCCTGAGCACAGCAGGTTTCAAGAAACACCTGCACACTGAGCCGGCCTTGGTCGCCCAAGGATCGGCATCTTCAGACAGCCACTGCTTGACCCACAGCAAGGGGGTGAGTGGTGTCCTGGCTGGTGCAAGAAACGCCAGAATGCCGGCACTAGTACATGGAACCTTGCCGTGTAGGCCCCTCAGCCCTAAATATTCACCGTCTGCAGCCTCCGTTGACTCCCTATCTTCTTGAAGATTCGAAACCTGAGCCCGGGAACGGATTTCGACATGCAGAACACGCGCACGTGCACATCCATACATCCATACATGCAGACCTTCACACATGCAGGCATACAGTGTACATGCATATTTCTTACGTGCATACATGCATAGACCATACAAGGTGGCTGACCTTTACTCAGATCGGCGATGTCATCTTCACAGGACGCCGTCTTGGGGACCTTTTAACCTTTGCTTTGGTTTTGGGCCTGCCAACTTTATAGGGTTCTAGAGCTTGGTGATATCGTACTGACTGCAGAATGCAGATTTTCGGCTTAGGGTTTTGGCTGCACTGGATCCTGGACTGCTTGTACAGAGCGCTGGTGTGGTGCCTTCGAACAGACAGTTTCACGGGAATTTCCGTAATATTGCGCCTAGCTCATCGCCGAACGCTGCTCCCTCAGCTACAGGCCTCTTCTTTCTGGATGTGGGCATCCGCATCGCTGTGCTGGGACTGGCGTTCTGGAAGGCAGGAGTGTGGAAACCCACTCGCGAACCCCTGGACCCCCCTTTTCTTGCCGCTGCACTTGCAAGGGTTTGGGTTATTCCCGAGCATTCGTGGCAACAGAAGGTCGTGCCTGCCTTTGCTACCCTTTCGTGCTGCATTGCTCCGGCCTTCGGGGTTGTTTGGCAAGTCGTGGACTTTATCAGCTAGTATGTCCAGAGGCCTGGGGGGTCCAGCCCAGCTATCGAGATGTTTAGGGTCCTTTTAGAGGTTAGGCGTGTGGCTGTCCTGTTTCAAGATGGAGGGATCCATCGGAGCTCCCTAAACCCTAAACCCTGCGGAAGCCTTTCACAATTGTGGATTCTGAGCAACCCAACGGGCGGGAGGAAAAAGGCGTTCAAAAAAGCCTAGACCCATGACTTGGGCTTCAGAGCTCCCTGCGCCGGCACAGGTTTGGTTGAACTACGTCGATGTGCTTGTGACGATTGTCTCCTTGATGGAGGTCCCCTGGTTGCCTCCACAGCCAGGAGATTGCGAGGACCCCAAGCCCTAAACTGCCTACACCCTTAAACTTTAAACCCTAAGCCCTCGACCATCACTGTAAGCGAGTTGGAGTGGGCCCTTAAAACGTCAAAAAATGGTAAGGCTAGGGGCTTGGATGGGTTTTCTTTCCCAGAGTTGAAAGCGCTGCCTCCTGAACTCGTAAAAATGCTCCTTCACATGTTGAACAGTATCACCAGCACTGGGAAGTGGCCGCAGCCTCTTCTTGATGCTGCCGTTACATTACTAGGGAAGTGTGCGCAGCCAGAGTCGCCAGCAGATGCCCGGCCAATCACGGTGCTTGCGTCTATCTATAGAGTTTGGGCGAGGTGTCAGGCTGCAAAGGTGTATGCCGCTATTTTGCCGCATCTTCCATCAACATTGTGTGGTTCTGTGCCTGGCAAGTCGGCTATGGACCTAGCCTGGATCTTGCAAAATGAAATCGAATTTTCTTTGTGCTCCGGTCAACCACTCGTAGGATTCGCCCTAGATCTTAGTAAGGCATATAATACTATTTCTAGGCCCGTTTTGGACTTGGCAGCCGAGCGTTTAGGGTGGCCTGCCACCCTTAGGAATGCGTATGCTGCTTTTTTGAAAGGGGTTAGGAGGCATTTTAGGGTAGGTGAACATTTCTCGGCACCGGTGTTCAGTCATACCGGTGTCCCTGAAGGATGTCCATTGGCGGTTGTTTCAATGATTGCGATCACATGGTTGGTTTCGACCGAAGTTGAAATCAAGCACAGTGTGCCCATGAAGTCGTATGTAGATAACTGGACGGTTCAGGCTAGCTCAGGGGCAAGTGCCACTGAAGCTGTTGCATGTATCACATCGACTACGTCGCAATTGGCGATGACAGTGTCCTTGAGTAAGTCGTTTGCGTACGCAACCACGAAAGAAGGTCGTAGCTTTTTGCGCCGCACGGTGCTGGAAGGGGTGTCAATTCCTGTTGTTCACGATTTCACCGACTTGGGGGTGGTGTGTAGTGCTAGAGCTAGGGGATGTGCTAAAGGTTTCCAAAATAGGTTGGAGAAAAATGCTGGGAAGTTTCAAAAGTTGCAACTTGTAAAATGGGGTGCCGACAGGAAAGTAAAAGCCTTGACAAAGGTTATCTTGCCGGCTACATTGTATGGTTGTGAGATGGCCAGCATCTCAGACTCGTCTTTTAGATGTTTAAGAGGTAAATCCAACAAAGCGATTTGGGGTGAGCATTCGCAGCGCAATCACTATCTTGCCCCGCTGGTTGCTGGAAGCCACATTTATGAACCTTGGCTGCTAGTTTTCAAGAAGCGCTGGCAGACACTGCGTAGAATTTGGGCTACTGAGCCGGATTTTGCCGCAAAGTGGAATTTTTTTGTAGGAGTGAGCGTTTCTAAGGGTGTGGGGCCTTTGTCGCTGTTTTTCCTTGACCTGCAGTTTCTGGGGTGGGAGCCTCAAGCCAATGGACATGTTGTTTTGCCTCAAGGAGTTGCTTTGCATGTGTATTTTTCCAAGTGGACGTTCGTGTGGGGCAAGCTGTTAGCTGCCTGGGAGACGCATGTCTGTGCCCAAGTTCAGTCTTGCAAGGGTCTTTGTGGTTTAGAGGAGTTTTCAGTAGTCCGAGTGCGGTCCCGTTTGGAGACTAAGCAGGGGTATAATGCGCATGTTGCCAACTATGCGTGTGGGGCCATTGTCCCGGCTGAGCGCCGCAAACATTTCACGGGTGATGCGGATCTGAATTGCCCATTTTGTGATGATGTTTTAACAACTGAGCACATGCTGTTGCATTGCCTTGCCACTGTGCCGTGCAGAGAAAGCATCTTGGATACCCTTCGGCTTTGTGATTCTTTTGAGGTGCAGTGGGGTTTGTTTAAAGTTCCTCAAGAAGTCAAAGATTTTCATGCTGCGCTTCAGCAACTGCAGTGGGCAGATGTGCCTGAACTGTTCGATGAAGATGTGCACCTTTTCACGGATGGATCGACTATCTGTCCAGAAAATCCGTGTTTGTCTCTGTCTGCATGGGGGGTGGTAATAGCGGAACCTGAGAAGCTAGATGGGGCTAGGGTTGTTAAAGGGGTTGTTCCTGGGGAGCAGCAAACGAATAATCGCGCGGAGTTGCTAGCCGTTCTGGCGGCGGTTCTCTCAGGCACAGGCGGTGCAATCTACTCTGATTCAGAAGTTGCCGTCTCCGGTTTTCGTAAACTCCAGCAGGAGGGATGGTCACCACTGTTGTGGCGCAAGCATGCGAATCTTGATGTGTGGAGTTCGAGTAATGCTGCCTTGCAGAGGTCCCCGCGGCCGTGGCGCATCATCAAAGTAGAAAGTCACCGTGAGTGGCGGACTGCACCAGATGCTCACCACGCATGGCTCTGGTATCACAACCATCAGGCTGATGCGTGCGCCAAGAGCGCCATGCAGGGTTTCGGTTCTGGGGTGCTTGAAGCACATGCGAAAGCACAGATGGCATGGCAGGTTTCTTGTATTCGTCAAGATGCAGTTTATCAGCTGCAGCTTGGGGTTTCGAGTTGTTTTCGCCAGGCTAAAAGAACCTCATGTGTTGAGAGGGTCAGCGAGGATGCACTGCAACTAAAGTTGCAAGCTCTTGGCATGATGCTCTGTGATGTAGGGGTTCCATTCCCTGGCAAAGATTGCGAGCCCGACTGGAGGTATTTCCTACTGTGCGCGCCTTTTGGGCAACTCCTGTTTAGGTGGTTTAGTTCTGTTGAGTGGGTTTGGGATCCCGGGGGCTTCTCCTTGCTGGAGATGTACTACGCGTTCACCGGCCAGACGGGGTGGGTAGTTCCCTTGAATTTGGCTAGTTGGGTGGATAGTGTTAGGCCCGTTGGGTGTAAGGGTGTTAAGGTCAAGTCACTTTGGGTGCATGAAACACAGTACCCACAGCTTACCTTGCATCGGCAAGCCCTCACCTGCCAACTTGTAACTTTCGCACACACGGTGCGTTCCGTGTTGCAGCGTTGTAAATGTGATTGGAATATCCAGAACATGCCAGCCCTGAGATTTGTAGGTGTTCCTTGTAAAGTTCCAGCAGTTCTGTTCCGGCCGAAGCTGCCTCATGCGGCGACTATTGTACAGAAGATCCATCGAGATATGTGCGGCAGGGAGTACAGATTGTTCCTCAAGACTTGTTATGTGGCTCCCAGGACTCCCCTGGTTAGCCAGCTCGAGTATCCGGACCCACAGCAGGTCTTTGCAAGGTCAAGGCGATTCCACAGGCAGAATCGCTGATTGACTCCAATTCGTAATTTATCATTCTGTAGTCTAGTCTCCAAGTGGTTGCTTCGAGACTGTCCGAGAGACCGCATGCATAAACCCTAAGCCCTAAACCCCTGGGCCGAGTATACGATCCCAAGAGTGCCGTGAGAGCATGGAAGTTAAGGCCAGGCCTTCAGCTGCTAAAGGTCTAGGGTTTAGGGAAGTCCTGCCGTGCCCTTTCTTGGCCGAGGTTCTGACGTACTACGCCGTGCCCTTTCCGGTGCCTTTGCCAAATCTTTGAGCTGGGTGGTGGTTCTAAACCCAGGGTTTTGACGTGTCCCTTTTTCCGGAGCCGTGGGAACCCCAAGTTGGTTCCGAAGCCTAGAAAAAGGCAAAACCTCCGTGATTCAGGGCCTGTGAGGTTGAAGCTTCAGGGCTGCCAGCAAAGCGCGGAGTCGTAGAGGGAGACACAGAGGGAGAGAGAGAGGGAGAGAGCAAAGGCAGGGCAGCAACAGAGAGGCACCCGACGAGAGCCTTGTGTTTGGGCCTATACTTGACCGATGCTTGCTCTTGCTTGGTACATTCCTGACCGTCTTTGCTGTTACACCACAAAGTCGGAGTGCCTCGAAGCCCTAACACAGGGCACTCGCCTTTAACAAGGAGGCGCACATCCCTTTGTAAAGACCGAGCCCATCCATTCCAAATAATGGATGGGGCAGCGGGCTAGGCGGGTATGGTGTCAAGACCAAGCCCTCCCCGAAACATTGCTCCTGCCCCTTCTTACATGCAAAGCGGACACCACTTCAGAAGGACTCCTGGAACCTTTTCCCGGACCCTAAACTGTCTCGTAGTGTCGTTATGGTCATAATACAGTTATGGTATTACTATAGCATTCCTTGAAGAGTATTTCTGTTTTTTTAGTGTTGTTCTACTCAGCCGAAAGATCTCCCAGCCAGGGCTCCTTCCGAGCCGCCCCGTCCCAGATCAACCCGGCGCTCTTCCGGCTGCTGCGCATCGGCAAGCTCGCGCGGGCGCTGCGCATGCTGCCGGTGACCAACGCGCCCCGTGGCCGCGACTCGTAGGATGGGGGCAAGTTCTCAGCTGATAGGAGGCAGGTGCGGGAGGCCTAAACCCCAAAAAACCCAAACTCTACAGACAATAAGCTTAGAAATTCAACATTGAACCATCCTTAGAGCTGCAAAAAAGAGATCCCCGAGAAAGTGTGGAATGAGGCTGGCGTCACTGCAGCTCCTCGTGAAGGGACTCACTGCTAGCAGGCCCTGGGAACTAAGGGCCCTGGGTTCCGTGAGGTTTTAGGGTTTAGCGTTTATAAGATTTTCATAGCCGGCTTTATTCGAGAGGTTTTTCGGATTGTACAGTGGGTGTTGTAGGGATGTTTCAAGGTTTTGTTTGAGGCTGTGTGGAAGAGGGCAGTGTGTACTTTGGAAGAAGGCTCTCTGCGAGAGACCCACCGAGGCCCTGAGGACCGTAAGTTGCCTAAGTTTGGGTGTAAGGTTTAGAGCGTAGGGTGCAGTGTAGGGTTTCGGGTTTTGGGTTTAGGTTAGGTTTAGCTTAGGGTTTAGGGTTTAGAGTTTAGTTCAGGGTTTAGGGTTTACGGTTTTGGGTTTAGTGTGTAGGGGTTTAGCTTAGGGTTTAGGGGGATCCTAGTGGCAGTGCCTTCTGTGTCCCTGTTGATGTGGCTAAGTAGCACGACCCGGGGATCCGAACCTTGCGACATGTTGAAGTCCCTTGAAGACCACCGACCTTCCCAACGGAACACTACTTTCAGCGTGAAGCCAGGAAGCTTCGGCCCAGCTAGAAGTTAGCCTGAATCTTCATAGAGGACCCAGCCGCAGCAGCACTTAATACATCTTGAGCCCCAACAGCCGCGCATTCAACTCTACACTCCAAGCCCGAAGCCCTAAACCCCAAAGTGTGAGACCCCAACGTGCAAAAGCCCACGCCCCAAGGCCGCCGAGCCCCTGAGCCCTACATCCCAAAGCCGAAAAGCCAACAAACCCTAAATCCTGAACCCTCAGCCCTTGACCCCAACACTGGGTTCTTGTTAAAGGGTTGAAGGGTTGAGTTTAAGTTAACATACGCAAGAAACCATATTATGTACTATAGATCCCTGTCATAATGGTAGCTTAAGTTAAGTCTTTCAGCAAGAGCACAAAAAGCCCACGGCACGGCAGGGGTATGCTCTTCTGGAGCTTCTGCCTTCTGACCTTCCTGCAGCGACTTGCTGAAAATTGATTCCGGGTGGGGGATGGTGGAACCCTAGTCCCCAGACCCGAAGCTCCCACATTGAAAGCTTCGCGGGTTTAGGCTGAGTGCTTGGAGCTTTGGTGCTTTTGAAGCTTTGGCTTCGCGGAAGGGAGAGAATGTGATGGAGAGCGCTTCGCATGTAGAGCAGTATCCGATCACTGTAGATATTGCGATTACGTTATTATAGTATAGAGGGCTTTTATAAGAAAATCCTACTATAGAAATTACGATTACGTTACTATAGTATATGATATTAGTATTAGCGGCGCAATTTTCCTCAGGTGCGTTGCCGGCATGGTCGTCTCTACGCTGGTCCGTGATTTCGTTACGGACTGATTCGAGGGTCAGGTTTAGGGTCTGGGGTCAGAGTGCCGCCGAACAGCATGGGTGATGGCAGCCCCTAGATATCGCAGGACGAAAACCAACCCAACAACGAGCGTGAGGAGGTCTTCCGCTACTACGGCCACATGCCTTTTGGGGCTTCAGAGGTTTAGTGCATGGCTTCGGCCATTCTGCTGGCCGACGGGATTCAGGGAAGATGTGGTCGGTGCCTTGCGATCTGTTTCTGGCGGAGCTTCTATCTGGTCTGAGGCTGCAGCACCTACGGACGTGGGCTATGTAGAGCCCGATGCTGTTGTAAACCTATGCTTATGCAAGGTACCTTCACCCGGACCTTCCTCAGCATGTTTGAGGCTTGGCAGCACCTTTCGACAAATTTTCAGTCTCGCAGGCTTGAGAGTCGCAGTGTATCATGTTTGCCTATATGCTCGTTTTTCGTTCATTATTCCCCAGACCCCGAGCCCTAAACCCTAAACCTTGACCCTAAACCTCTGGACCCTAAGCCGAAGCCCCAAACTGTAAACCTCAAACCCTAACCCCCAAAACTCATCATTTTGCCTGCGACGACTACTACGCGACAGGGTGCAGCCTCAACAACTTTCCGCGCGTTGATGGATGCATCGATATCGACGATTGCCAAGGAAATCCTGTTTGCGAACTGGGGGCCTCCATGTCGCGTTCTCGTGGAGTACGTCTCCCGGCAGACCTGGCTGGGGGTTTTTAGAAGCTCGGGATTTCTCATTCAGGGTTTAGGGGGTTTAGGGGTTTTGGGGGTTTAGGGGGTTTAGAGTTTAGGGGGGTTTTGGGGCTTAGGGGTCTTAGAAGCTCGGGATAACTCGGTATCCTGCTAGGTAGCGTTCTACACCAGGTCCCGAGCAGAGGCGGTAGCAGGCTGGATGCGCAATAGAAAAAATCGAAGATTATGTACTATAGTTTAATAAAGCAAAACATAACATAGCAGATGATATCATAATCATGCATTCTGATATGCTATATCATATCATCATATGCTATAGTACAGTAGGATACAGTGTAGCTTCGGCATGAGGGTGCGCTGTGTTCTGATAGTCGCACTTCTAGGGCCCGGCATCAAGAAAACCTCGAAGAGGGGCACCACTTCGAAAGTCGCGCCGGTAGCCCGTAGCAGTGGCACATTGGCAATACAGCAAGACCTTAACATGGGCAGTATAGTATAGTAGACTATACTATAGTATAGTATACTAAAGTATAGTGTGCTAGAGTCTGACTTGTCGAGCACGAGTGACAAAAATAGTGTGCTAGATCCGTTGTGGTCACAACGCGGGAGTGAGGGTCTTGCGACGTGCATTTTCTCATCGCACGTTGCCTGTGGGTCACTTGCTGAACGGCTACTCATCGTTCAGGATTGTCAAGGCGCTTAAAGTTTTACTGTGTATTCCCTATTTTCGCGGCGGTTTGTAGACCCGAAACTCAAAAACCTCCAATCCAAAAACTTAGCCTTGATCCCTAAACCATGAAACCCGAAAGCACCAAAGCCCAAAGCCCCCTACAGAACCGGCCTAAACCCCGAAGGTTGGCGAGTATTACTCGATCTTCTTCCTGCTGTGCCTTGTCTGCATGACCTGAGTCTTGGGCCGGGTTTAGGGTTTAGGGTTTGGGGGATCATTGGCTGGGATTTTTTCCTTGGGTTTGGTTTGGAGTCTAGGGCTTTCCCTGCATTTCACATCAAACAGGGGCCGAACAGCCGCATGCATTTACAGACGCCACGAAAATGCCGGCATGGCTGCGATTAAGGGTTAAATTGGACATATTCTGCGTGCGTGACGCGATGACAGTTGCGATCTTCCTGATGATGCAGCAGCAGAAGCAAGTGCGGCAACAACAACTACTGCGACTACTACTGCTGCTACTGCTGCTCCTGCTGCTGCTTCGCTTGCTACTACTACCGCTACCACTACCACTACTACTACTACTACGACGACTACTACTAGTACTACAACCAACAACTCCTACTGCCATTAGTGCTCCTACTACGACTGCTACTCTGATGCCTTTGCTGCGTGGTTATCAGCAGTGATAGCATTATTAGCGCTTCCCCTGGATCTGAGCTCTACTGCAATCAAATCTGCCAGGCTGCTCCGAGGGCAGGATCTGTTGCTTGACAGTCCCATGACATCTCCCCTGTGTTGCGATCAGCTGGACCCCAGTTAAAAGCAGACAAGCATGAACCGATGCATGCGTATAGGGTGTCCGTCCATAGTTGCCTCTGATGGGTAAAGATTCGGTTGGCAGGATCTAAGAATCAACCTGGCGCCCAAGTTCATCGTTCATTTTGCCACCGCCATGCTGCGCATCAGGATGCTGTCAGGGGAGGAAGTTGTGAGCATACCTTTGGAGGAAGTGGTTAATGTTTTGGCATTGAAGCAGCGGCTGAATCGTCTGCACGGCCTGCCAAATCGATTCAGTCAAAGACTGTTTTGCTGTGGCAGTCCTCTAGATGATGCTACCACATTGAGCTCGCCGTTAGACTTGGAGCTGGTCCTGCTTACGCATGCCGATGCCACGCAGACACAAGTCGACGAGCTGGTGACTGCTGCCGCGAACGGTGCCACAACGGAGGCCTCTTGGCGTCTAGGTCCTGAAACCTGACACAGTGAGTTTTGGTGCGCTTTTGGGGGAAGTCTCACGATTGAAATATGCCAAAGCTTGCAGGTGGAGACCATGCTTCAGCACCCCCAGAACCCGAACATGGTCGATTCGCAGGGGAGAAGTGCGCTGGCGGAGGCTTCTTGCGCAGGCCGTGTGGAAGTTCTGCATCTGCTGCTGGAAGCCGGTGCGGACAAGAACATGCGCACCACTGACGGCGATACCGCCTTGATACTAGCTTGTGCAGCGGGCCAACTGGAAAGTGTACATTTGCTGCTGGACGCCGGTGCCGACAAGAACTTATGTGACAACGACGGCAACACTGCCCTGATGGCAGCTTCTGAAGAAGGTCATACTGCAATTCTGCGGTTGCTGCTGGATGTCGGTGCCGACAAGGATTTTGCGGCCGCCAATGTCGGCACCACTGCCCTGATGTTGGCGTCTCAACAAGGCAATGCTGAGAGTGTTCGTTTGCTGCTGGAAGCCGGTGCTGACAAGGACTTTGCTGCCTCGGATGACGGCACCACTTCCATGATTTTGGCTTCTGGAGGAGGGCATGCTGAAACTGTTAGTTGCTTGCTAGAAGCCGGTGCTGACAAGAACAGTCGCGACAACGAGGGCGTCACTGCCCTGACGGTAGCTTGTGAACAGGGCCATTTTGACATTGCCTGTTTGCTTGTTGAAGCCGGTGCCAACGTGAACTTAGCAAGCAATGATGGCACAACTGCGCTGCTGCTAGCTTCCACAGGAGGGCATACTGAAATTGTTAGCTTGTTGCTGGAAGCCGGTGCCGACAAGAACCGCCGCAGCAACGATGGTTTCACCGCCCTGGCGGCAGCTTCTGAAAATGGTCATGCCGACATTGCTCGTTTGCTACTGGATGCGGGTGCCGACATGAACTTGGCCAGCAATGACGGCACCACCGCCCTGATGCTAGCTACTACAGGAGGGCATGCTGAAATTGTTGTTGCGTTGCTGGCAGCCGGTGCCGACAAAGACTTGCGTGACAAGGGCGGCTTCACTGCTATGCTGTTGGCTTCTTTTGAAGGGCACAGGGACATTTTGCGATCGCTGCTGGGTGCCGGTGCCGACACGGACGGACGTTACAGCGACGGCTTCACCGGCCTCATGTTAGCTTCTCAGCACGGCCAAGTTGGAAGTGTGAAATTCTTGCTTGATGCCGGTGCCGACATGAACCTAGTCAGCAATAGTGGCACCTCTGCGCTGATGTTAGCTTCCACAGAGGGGTATCCCGAAATTGTTAGTTCCTTGCTGGAAGCCGGTGCCGACAAGAACAGCCGCAACTTCGAGGGTTCCACTGCCTTGGCCGTGGCTTCTGAAAATGGTCATGCCGACATTGCTCGTTTGCTACTGGATGCCGGTGCTGACATGAACCTGGCCAGTCATGATGGCACCACCGCCCTGATGCTAGCTTCTAGAGGAGGGCATACTGAAATTGTTTTTGCGTTGCTGGAAGCCGGTGCCGACAAAGACTTGCGTGACAAGGGCGGCTTCACTGCTATGCTGTTGGCTTCTTTTGAAGGGCACAGGGACATTTTGCGATCGCTGCTGGATGCCGGTGCCGACGCGGACGGACGTTACAGCGACGGCTTCACCGGCCTCATGTTAGCTTCTCAGCACGGCCAAGTTGGAAGTGTGAAATTCTTGCTTGATGCCGGTGCCGACATGAACCTAGTCAGCAATAGTGGCACCTCTGCGCTGATGTTAGCTTCCACAGAGGGGTATCCCGAAATTGTTAGTTCCTTGCTGGAAGCCGGTGCCGACAAGAACAGCCGCAACTTCGAGGGTTCCACTGCCTTGGCGGTGGCTTCTGAAAATGGTCATGCCGACATTGCTCGTTTGCTACTGGATGCCGGTGCTGACATGAACCTGGCCAGTCATGATGGCACCACCGCCCTGATGCTAGCTTCTAGAGGAGGGCATACTGAAATTGTTGTTGCGTTGCTGGCAGCCGGTGCCGACAAAGACTTGCGTGACAAGGGCGGCTTCACTGCTATGCTGTTGGCTTCTTTTGAAGGGCACAGGGACATTTTGCGATCGCTGCTGGATGCCGGTGTCGACGCGGACGGACGTTACAGCGACGGCTTCACCGGCCTCATGTTAGCTTCTGAGTATGGGGAAACTGAAAATGTACGAGTTTTACTGGGTGCGCGTGCCGACATGAACTTAGCCAGCAATGATGGCACGACTGCCCTGTTATTAGCTTCGCAGGGGGGCTTCACAGAGATTGCTCGCTTGTTGCTGGAAGCCGGTGCCGACAAGGACCTTGCTGCCTCCGATGACGGCACCACAGCCATGATTATAGGTTCTTTTGAAGGCAAGGCGGAAGTTGTCCGTTTGCTGCTGGATGCCGGTGCCGACAAGAACTTACGTGACAACGAGGGCGCCACTGCCCTGGCGTTAGCTTGTGAACGCGGCCATGCTGACATTGCTCGTGTGCTTCTTCATGCCGGGGCTGACATGAACTTAGCCAGCAATGATGGCACCACCGCCCTGATGCTAGCTTCTGAAGGAGGGCATGCTGAAACTGTTACTTTGTTGCTGGGAGCTGGTGCCAACAAGAACGGTCGCGACAACGAGGGTGTCACTGCCCTGGCGTTAGCTTGTGAACACGGCCATGCTGACATTGCTCGTTTGCTTCTGGATGCCGGGGCCGACATGAACTTGGCCAGCAATGATGGCACCACTGAACTGATGCTAGCTTCTGAACATGGGCAGCTTGAGGCGGTAAGAATACTTGTGGATGCTTGCGCCCACCTGAACTCAGCTGCCGATGACGGCTTCACTGCTATGATGCTGGCTGGTCATTGTGGCCATGAGCAGATTGCTGGACTACTGGATGTCGCCGAGAGGATCTTACCCAAAAAGCGTCGTCAGCCCCTCGATGTCAGCACATCGAAGAGGCCACGCGGAAGTTCTGCTGAAAGTGCCGAGGCGCTTGACGGTGCTTGATGGAAACATGCTTAGGGTTTATGGGGTAAACCTGCAAGGTACCGGGTTGATGCGGATTGAGGAAGTCTGGGCGAGGATGTGAACAGCTCAGATGGCTTCCAAGAGCCCGAGTACTAGCTACTGGTAGTAATTCCAGCGAGTTCTTGTTTATGTTTCGGGCAAGGAGCCCTTCAACAAAACTCTCCGAACGCGAGGGTTTTCAGCTGTTAATTGGCGTCGAGCTCATGCTCTTGAGGTATGTAAGTCGTGTAGCAGTTGAACATGCCCTAGACCAAACGGACTGTTCCCGTATCCGGAAAGGCCCATACCGGCTAGCGCAGCCTCGTGCAGCCTCGCGAGGCACTAAATCCTTCAGGCAGGTACTTGTCCCTAGGCCCAGAATTGAAAGTTCTGCCATTTCGACCTTATGCCCTAAACCCTGCAACCTAAACCTCAAACTAGCCCAGGGTGGCAAAAGAAGCCCTAAACTAGAGTGATATGAGACTCAAAACTCAAACCTGAAGCCCGCTCTGGCGGAGCCACTGATGTTTTACGTTTTGTAGGGGGCGCTCGGCAGCCTCGAGACTCCTTTACTTGCAGGTTTTGGGTTTAGGGTTTTAGGTTTGGTGAACACGAAAGGCCGTGATGCAAGGATCTGGCTAGTCCCGAAGCCCAGATGCGTTTTGCGTTTTGGTTTGGGTTTAGGGTTTAGGTGGAGGGGTTTTCGCTGGCATACAATCCAAGCCCATGCTGCAAAAGGGTTTAAGTGGAGTTAAAAATTGGGAAACCACAGTTGTAAATCATATGAGGCGGCTTATATCCCCACTTATAACTACCCGTGAACCTCCAAGTAAGGGTTTGTAGAACTTCCCGAGATGGCTGAGAGCATACACTGTTTTGCGCTCCTTAACTCGACAACAAGCTAAAACTCTGCATAGCTGTAGAGAGTATATCATATCTAGCTCCGTTCCACTTGCTTCAACTTCGGATGTGCATTTCATCAGTTGGCGACTTGCGGCGAAGAGCAATGCACGACATGTTGGCTTCTCGTCGTAACACTCTCAAGCCCTCCGAAGCTAAAAACCCTTTGCCCGGCCATGTAGCCTCGAACCCCCCTTCTTTCTATCTTAACATGCCAAGAAGCCGCTGGCCAGCATACTGCCTGAAATTGAACACCCTCTTAACACGTAGAAATCGTAAGGTCCCAAAGCATGAAAGGCCAAGCAAGCGGACGAGCCTCGGGCGTGGGGTTCAGGGATCGTCTGCTTTGTCTCAGAGTCGACAGCAAAGGTACCGCTGCGTTTTGGGCTTCGCCGTCATCAATGTGGCCACCTGGTCGTAATTTGCTACCAACAAATTTTGGGATGCTGGGGTTTGTACCTCGCGTCCCCTATACCACAGCCTAGAACCGTGACCCAAAATTGCACCCGTACTATATCCGAACACCCGACGAAGGCTTTTTTTGTGTCAAAAAAACCTGGAGCCTCACAAACTAGAAGCCTAATATTATCCCAGAGGGTTATTAACTATCACTTTCTATAAGATGCCCCGAAACGGTCTGCACACCCTAAACTCTACAGCAAGGCCCTGAAGCGATAAACCCTAGAAAAAAGTCCCTGAAGCCCGAGAGCCCTGAAAGCTCTAGAGCCCTAGCGGTTTCTACCGTTTCAGTTCTCAGCTTTGTATTTACATGTTACCATGACTACTGGGAAGGGTCGAGTTTGGGCGAGAGGCTGAAAGCACATGCAATGTTCAAGGGTTCCGTTTTGGGAGTTTCCGAGTATAGAGGACCCTAATATAGTACCCTAAAAGGGTAGCATCCCTATTGTAAGGACCCTGCAAAATACGGTACCACGAATTTTCGTAAAAAAAAACCCATATTACTACCCGTGGTCCCCTTGTAGATACCTTATAGTAACCCTTAAAAATGCTCAAGGATTCCCTGATTCCTTTTTGCATGAAGCAGCCAGGTCAACGCCATTTTCGTGCAACAGACCCTGAAGGCCTCGCAGCCCTGCAGCCCATAGACCTTAGCCCTCCACTGCCCTAAACCGTAACTACCGTGTAGAACCCCTAGGCCTTTTAAGCCCAGGTAACCTGCCTTTTCAAGGACGTATATAAAGAAGTCATATCAGGGAACCTTAGAAAGGTAGGTTCCTTCTTAAACCCCCCCAACCCGAAGCCCTGAAACAAGCTGTGCCTCGCTGAGATCGTGTGTGCGAGTATCACCCGTCAGCTAAAGCACTAAGCTTCGAATCCTCGGACCTACGCCTCACATGAACCCGACTGCAGGCCCCAGACAAACCCTTCAAGGTTTTGCGGCTTTAGGGTTTTTGGCTCAGGGTTAGCGCTTTTCGGGGTTCTTGTTTGAGGGTTAAAGGCCTGTAAGGATTTAGTTAAGGTCCAGGCTTTGGGGTTTAGGGATACCCCGTCTGGTAGCGCTCTTTTGTTTAGAAAGTTTAGATCCTGGTAAGAGGCACCGTTTCCCCAAGGAGAGCTGTGAGAAGAACGCGTGCACCGTTAGGCCGCCTGTGAACCCCTAAACCAGAAACCCTACACCCTAAAACCCTAAAACCCTAAACTAGGGTTTAGGGCTTCAGGGTTCAGGGGTTTAGGGTTTAGGGTGTAGGGTTTAGGGTTATTTTAAACCCTAAACCGTAACCCGGCAACTGAACACGTGAAACCCGGGCCATGCACATACAGGGCAGGCCCCAAACCAGAAACGAGGAAGGCAAGGATTGACCGCGTCGAGACGAAGCCCTGCGCCGCCCCTCTCCAGACTTGCATTACAAAGAAAGCCACAAAAGCCCTAGTCTTAACTACGCCTCAAGCTTCAATATCCTTGAACAAATCCTACAATTCGGGTCCTATAGGGTTCGAGACCCAAATTTCCGAAGCCTCCAAAGCCTCAGCGCTCTCCTCGCCTTGTGGCCAGACAGCCAGCTCCGACGAGGAGCTGGCTTTCAAGAACAAGGAGAAGGACGGGCAAATGATGCGTTTAGGGTTTAGTAAGCGGGGATGTACATAGGCTTTTGGGGTGTGCAAGGCTTTCCTTGTTTGCAGTGTATGCTTCTGCCTTGATAGGGTAGGGCTTGGGGTTTCGGGCTAGTTGAGGTCATTAGCTTGAGGTCTGCCTGACCGCAGAATATGTCGAGTTGCGAGAGCGTAAACTTAGTTAACAGCATGTCGCCCTTAGCCCCGAACTCGGGACGGAGTTCAGAGCTCTCCTATACCCTGCTCTGAAATGTGAGGACATTGCCCTCTATGCGAACAAGGCCGTGTGCGGATAGATCTGAAGCGGTTATTCGAAAGGGTCGGGTTTAGGGCTTAGGGCTTGTGTTAAAAAGCTTTAGGGCTTAACAGGATTTAGGGTTTAGCTTGTTGAGGTTTAGGGACCAGTAGCCCGCAGCCGCAAGCCCCAAAACCTCACATGTGTTTGGGTTGAAGTTTAGGGTTGTATCCTAGCCCACAAACCACCAAAGGAAGAGTTGCTTGAAGTTAGTTTGGGGTTGAGCCCGAAGGTTTCAGACAGCGTCGCCCTGAAGCCAGAAGATCTCCACCCTAAACCCAGATAGACTCTAAACCGTAAGCCCAAACGAAGTCTGGGAGGCAAGGGTCCAAGGGTCTGGGAGACGGAAAACAACCGTGGCGGGCACCTGACAGGGCCTACGTTTCTTTTAGCTTTATAACTTGACTCACCTGTTACTTGCGCCTTGGTGCGAACAATGTGTTTCCTTAAGCCTGTAAAGTAAAATCTTGTACCGAACAAGGGTCTAAGGTTGAAACACATAGGAAAGAGAAGTTTCGGGTCTCGGGTTTATGGCTTCGGAGTTAAGGGTTGCTATAGGGGTTGCAATAAGTATTGGGGTGTAGGGCTAAAGGCTCCGTTAAAGTGCCACTCTTAAACCCCATGCGTTGCCTGGCGCTGCTAGACCACTGGCAGAGAGAGAGAAAGAGAGAGAGAACCTTAAACAAGCCGCACACCTGGAAGCTTTAGATGCAGCAGTTGTTTGTGCCAGATATGTTGAAAGAAGAAACAAGCGTCAGCACCCTTACACCCTAAACCCTGAGCCTTAAGCCTCAGGCCCTGTTTGAAACCCCTACTTACAACTGCCCATGGACCTTCAAGTAGGCCCTACCCTCTACCCTTATGGCATCCCTGTAGATCCCTAATAGCAGGGAGTTGGCCCTCACCCTCTACCCTTATAGAGTCCCTATAGATCCCTCTTTAAGTGGGGCCCTTTCTGTGCCAGGTGAAGAAGCTGTTCCAGACCATGGACTTCTCGGGCGACGGCGCGATCAACCTGGAGGCGCTTGGCAAAGGGTTCTTCAAGGCCCTTGCTGTTGTAGCGCTTCTTAGAATTTAGGGGTTGAGGGTTTAGGGGTTTCGGGTTTAAGGTTTTGGGGTTTAGGGTTTAGGGTTCAGATCTTAGGGTCTACTTGGGGGTTCATGGGTAGCTAACAGTGGAGGTTATAAGTGGGGTCCATATTCGGAAACTCATGACCCCACTTGCAACTATACCCATGAACCTCCAAGTAGGGTGCTTTGAGATCAGGGAGACCCAGCCGCAAAAGGGTGCTTTGAAAGGGTTTCGATGGAGGATTCCAATAGGGTTTATTGGTTGTGAAGCCGACGTAGTCTCCCGTCCCTCTGAGGCCTCAACCCTGGCCCTAAAACCCGTGCCTCCATAAACCCAGGCAGCATTAAACCCTAAACCCCTGCATTGTCCAAACCCTACACCCCTAAACCCGAAACCTTACTTAAATAAAGCTGCAAATACTGGAAGCGGGGGTCCTTCCTGGGGCGACGGTAAAATCCATGATCATCACCGTGAGGGTATACTAATACCAATAACAACAAATACCAACAGGAGTACTGCTCTGCGGCTGTCCAGGGGTCTCTGTATAACTCAGCTTCGCATGATATCCTCCGTGTTGTCTTACCTTTGGTTAGTAGGGAATGGAAGAATGGTCGTAATAGTAGTGATAATTCTACCCCATAAGGGTTCCTTTAAGGGCCCCTTTAAAGGGACCTATAGGGTAATATTCCCTACTAGCCAAAGGTAAGTTCTTCGGAGCCCCAAACCGCACCAGGAGTTCTCCAAGCTGGTCAAGTCCCCGAAGCTGAAGCTCCTTGGAAGGAGTCATGGCGGTTTAGGGTTTAGGGGTTTAGGGGTTTAGGGCTTAGGGGTTTAGGGTGAATAGCGTTTATAGGGTTTAGGTTTTCAGGGTTTATGGGGCTTTATGTAGGGGGTTGAGGGTTTAGGGTTTACGTGTTCGGTGCCAATATGTGATACCAAGCAGTATATTCGGGAACACCCTCAGCAGGCCTGGATGCATTAGGGCTTACGGGTTTCGGGCTCTGGGGACCGACAAAGACTGCGTGGACATACGCACATGCGCACATGCTGTCGTGCACTTAAGCCTTCAAGCACAAGCGCGCAGAGGTGTATATTCAAGCAGCGCGGCCGCTGCAGTCCTCTAAACTTGTGCACACAGGATCGAAAGAAGAGTTCCGCCATTCCTTATACCCTAAAACCCCACTCCTCAGCCCAAGGGGCCTCGGCTTGAACAGTCGAGCCTTAACCTTGAAAGCCTCAAGCGACATCCTCTCGGCAAGCATAAACTAAGAGATCAAACATCCTAAATCTGAAAGGCCCCCGGCCCAACCCCGACAAGTCTTAAGCCCTGATACCCCTCATAGCCCTGAGGGGTAAAGAATCCGGGAGCCCCTTGATAGCATGCGACGCAACAACAGAAACCCAATCTCCGAACACACTGAAGATGTCCTAAAGCCTAAACTTCCTGAGCCTGAACCCTGAAAGCCAGTAGCCCCAAACCCTAAGCACAAAGCCGTAAACCCCAAAGCCGCCAACCTGAACCTCCAAGCCTCACCAACCCAACCTACAATGTACTCTTCGGGCCTGCGTGCAAAGACCCCAAAAAGCCTTCAGTTGGCGCCTTAGAGAGCGTTTTCGTTCACAGTGCGCGCATGGCCCTAGCAACAACACCCTTAAGCCCCAAACCCTGAACCCCAAACTGAGCCCTAAGGTTCTGGATGAGCCAGCTGGAGCTGGAGTATCACGATCTGCTGAGCCTCTTTGAGTTCTTGGTCCCCTGGCTCGGTTTCTCTTTTGCTGACAGGGTTTAGCGGGTTGGGTAGGGCTCTTTTTTGTGGGTTCCGGATTCAGGGTTTCTTTTTGCTGCCTATCGGGGTCTAAAAAGGGCAGGAGGATTTCGAGATCTGGTGTATGCCTTCGTCGTGGCGGTGGCGTAAAGGTAGCCCTCTTCCTCGTCGTCCTCCTTTGTCGTCGTGGTCCTACAGGATCCTGATTCAGAAACCTTGGGTCTCCATTACGGTTCCTCTAAATCAGGGTGCGTTTGAAGGTCGGTGTTAGAAGGTTGCCGTGCTGTTTGTGTACGTAACCTACAGAGGACACCAATTTTGCGAACTACCCATGCAGGGGCGAAGGTTTGGCAAAAGCTGCAAGTTGGTTCTCCAGCTCCGAGGACAATGGGGACGGCGAAATTACGCTGACCGAATTCATCGAGGGCGGCGGTCTCGGCAATCTGGGACTCCTTTCTCGAGCTGCTTAAAACCCTTGACCCGAATCGTAACAGCTGTCGCACCAAAGGATCAGTGCAGACTGTCCCCTACCTGCAGCCCTTAAGTCTTCAGACATGAACGCTTTTTTTGATCATCTGTTGGAGCGCGAACCTTGACATGCAATGCGCGGCCCAATTGCGTTACACAGGTTTCATCTGTCTATCTGATAGTCTATCTATCTATCCATCCATCCTTATACATACAAATATGTATGTGTGTATCTATATATATATATATATGTATCTATAGATATATATATACATACATACATGCCATATGTATATGTACATAATCATAGATGTATATATATATATATATATATATATATATATATATATATAAACATACAAGCACATACATACATACATACATACACACACGCATATATATATATATATATATATGTATATACACGTGTGTGCGCATATACACACCTACCTACGTACATCCGTGCTTGCATGCATGCATGCATGATGTGTGCACGTATGCAGACACGCACATACACACATAAGCGCACACACACACACACAGGCAGATTGACAGAAGTATCCCGAGCCCCCGAACTCAGGTGCCGCTCGCCTCCGGGGTGGCGCGAAGGCGCGCAGCACCCGTCGTTGGCCATCCTGGGGGCTGGTGGAGAGGAAACTTAAAAGCTGAGTAGGTAAGCTTTAACTTTGTGGGAGTTCGGTATCTAATCCTACCACAATTGCAAAGGTCAACCATTTTACCTTACGATACTCAGCCTCTAAGGGAAAAACCTGCGATAGGTGCGTCTTTGCGTCACGCACAGCCTTGAATGTTATTCGGCGTTATTCCTTCCAAGGCTTCTGCAACCCTAATTCCTAAACCCCTGGCCCCAAACATGGACGTCAGAGTCAGAGTCAGAGTATCCGTGGCTTGACGTCTTCTCAAGGCCCTGGACATCTGGCGAATGGAGACAAAGCTGGAGGTTCGTGGCAGTGGGTTTCGGGTTGCCGACATGAGGGGTTCAGGGTGCAGAGTTTTGCGGTTTGGGAGTTGCGGGGTTTAGGGCCTTCAGGTTTTCTACATGGTAACCTGCAGAACTAGTATCTAACTTCGTCCGACAGCTTGGGCATGCCTTGACCTGAACCCACAGCGGTTACGGCCCGGTTACGGCTCATCTACTTTGCAAAAATCCCTCCAACGAAAGGGTCCACTCCTAGTTGGGGTTTCGGATGAGAAGGGTTCTGTCAGGTCCTCTTCGAGGAGGTGCTCACGATCTTGAACTTCATCAAAGGAGGTTCCGTGGATAGACAAAGAAGAGCATCGGGGGCCTGGGTGCTTGAGGTTCTTGACGATGTGGGCATTGCGGAGTCGCTGCTTCACGGAGTTTGCATATTGCCCTGAGTGGTCGGGAGTCGCATAGGGAAGCTATTGCTTTCATAAGCCTTGCCTGCATCGTAAGCCCCGCGGAGAGCTGAGTTTCGTGGACCGTATTGTGGGTTTCCGGGTCATCTTTGTCTTGAGTTAGTTAGTGATGAATGTCGATGAAGTCCTCCGGCTTGCGAATGGAGCGAGAACGTCTGCAGGTGCAATGATTCCGAACGACCCCTCCATATCGGTGGTGCAGGCCTGGCCGAGAAGTTAGCAGCAAAGATAGCAATAGCAGAACATTTGCTCCGAAACCCTAGTCGAAGATTTCATTTCAAGCTCTGATCAAATCGATTCGGGGGCTTGCAATCAGTAAACTCGAACCCTAGACCATCCCTCCTCAGTTCCGGCTGCCTCTGCACAAGTTTCAAGTTTCGTATCCTCGGACAGTCGCAGGAGACGAAAGAAGTCCCGCATCCCCAGCCTCGAGAGCGCTCCCTCACAACCGGACCCCATGCCTGTCGGAGCATCGGACATGCAGGGTAGGGCTGCCGGAACGTGCAACGCCATTTATTATGTTTATGACTTATAATTTATCATCCTGGTATCACTAACATCTTGGGGAAGTTTATTTTCACCAAGATGTTTTGTATCCGTGGCAGGACGTCTTCAACAACTCCCTGCCACTCGACCTCAGCATGAGAAGTTGAGAGGCTTCTTCGGGCAGATGGGTCCGGGGGTCAGTAGCCTTTTGGAGTTCAGGGATGCGGCAGCTGCGACTCTTGGATAGCAGCCGTAAATCCCAGACCCCAAACTCTTAAACCATGAGCTTTAACGGCCAGTTCTTCCGAAACCGCCACCACCACCACCACCACAAGTCCTTGAACCGTCCCCCCAAACCCTACTTCATATATGACCCAAACTTCAAACCCCAAGCATTCTACAACCCCTTACAACCCTCTAAAACCCGAAAACTCCGACTTCACATCTTCCTAATCCCGCTCAGCAGCCGAGAATCTCTTCAAGCGCGCCGCACCTTCCCATATCAATTAATGTAGCCGTAGCCAATACTATTTTGGGGGTTCTTCTTTCGAGCTATAGTATAAGATTCCTTATCGAATTACAGTATAAGCGACCCCCCAAAACACTGTTTTGATTATGAAGGCCCCTATATTCAGCCAACGAACACCCGAAACGACGCAAGCTCTTCCAGTGACCTGAGAAGCTGTGCTTGCAGGTTCATGGGTAGTTATAAGTGGGGTTATAAATCCCGTAATAGGGGTTACAACTATCGTTACCCTACTTATCACCGCACTTATAACATCCTCTCAGTTTGCTGGGGGTCTGGAATGGTGACCCTCCAGGGTCAGGGCATCAGGGGTCTGAAATGGGTCTTTAGGCATTTTAGACCCTTCCCGGCTTCCCATTTCAGACCCCTTAGCAAAGATTCTTGGATGTCGGTGTTAATGTCGGCTGCAAGCTGCGAAGGATCAGACCGCAGGAGCTCAGAAGAAGCATAACATCAGCCTGCATCAGCAGATTAGATCGTGTTCCCCCCTTCCTTTTTGGAGACTGAAATGGGGGGGTTACACCGCCGGAACCCATTTTAGTTTAGTTTCGTTCGGGCTTACACCCAGTTGTCCGTATATGCGCGCCATAAACTGTATCACGCACACAAGCAACCAGCTTCGCCATGCTTCGCCCGAAGAGCCATTTAGGGTCAACTTTCTGGGGGTTTGCCTCGGGAACGTTCAATCCAGACCTTTTCGCTGGGTTTGGATAGCATATTCTCGGGTGCCGTGGTTCAAAACGCCGAAGCAATCCAGACCCGCACCCAAAACACAATTCAGACCCCAAGAGATCCCAACAACAAGATACATGTGTGGTTTTCGGCTCGATGCCGGCAGTCAATGGCACTGATGAGTTTCGGTTCTGGCCCCAAACCAAAGCAGCGCGGCACTGTCCCAAACTGTTTGGACGAATAAGAACGTTCGGATTCTGTATGATACCCTGGCTGTAATTGGTTGTGCCATGTTGTGAGAACCCAAAACTTTAAACCCAGACGCCTTGAACCCAGAAGCCCAAGACATCTAAACCCAGAAACCCGGAACAGCAAGGCCTTAAACTCCTACACCAGGAACGGGGAACCCCGGACCAACAAACCCTGAAACTGTAAACCCCGCCCAAACCCTTGAAACCCAGAAACTCTGCATCCAGAAATCCTGCACCCTGAAGCCCTAAACCCACAGACCCCGAACCTCGGAACCCTAAATCGCGAAAGCCTAAACGAGAAACCCTAAACAACCTAGAAAACCTGGACCCCTAAACACATCAACGCTAAGCCGAGAAACCCTAAGCTCAAAAACCCTAAACCAGGAAACCTTGAACCAAGAAACCAGAAATCTGAAACAGACAAACATCCAGAACCCTGAACCCAGAAACCCTACACCCAAAGCCTCTGAGCCCAGAACTCCAGAACCCAAAAACTCCAAGCCCCAAAAGGGCGCTCTCACGATTCCAGAAGTGAGTGAGTGAGTAAGCGAGGGAAGTGAGTGAACGAGGGAGTGAGCCCAAACCCTCAACCCTGCAAGCCCTAGAATCTTCAACGCTGCCGCGCACACACGCACATACAGAGTCGCATGCACACACGCACTCACACGCGGCCCAAGCCCCTTTACCCGCAGTTCAAAACCCTCTGAAACTTTAAACCCGGAAGCCTTGGACCCAGAATCCCTGAACCCAGAGACCCTATACCCCGAAATGACTGCTCCGGGCCAGCAGATGATGAGACTCTTTGCTCTAAGCAGCACAAAGGTTGGGCCGCGACCCGTTCCCCCCCCCTCGTTCCAGAGCCCGAGCCCGGGCCCGACAGACCGCTCTTTTACCACCGCGGCCCGGGCTCCGTTCAGGGAAGCGAGGTGGGGGGGAACGGGTCGCGGCCCAGCTTTTGTGCTTCCGTGCAGGGTCGCTACTAGGAAGTGCCTACTGGCCCGGAGTGGTCACGAGTGAAGTTCGCTTCAGGGGTTTAGGGTTTCTGGATTCAAGGTTTCTGGGTTTGAGGCTTCTGGTTTCCAGGGTTCAGGGTTTGGGATTGCCGGGTTCTGGGGTTTGGGGTTTCTGCGTTTTCGGGCTTCGGGGTTTCTGAGTTCAGTGTTTTTGCATTCGAGGTTTCTGGGTTTAGGGCTGCTGGGGTTCAGGATTTATGGGTGCCGGGGCAAACTGTAGCATAGTCTTATTGCCTACTGGCCCGGAGCCGTCATTTCGGGGTATAGGGTCTCTGGGATTCTGGGTCCACGGTTTCTGGATGTTTCTGGGTTCAGGGGTTTGGGTTTTTGGATTTCTGGGCTCAAGCTTTCTGGGTTCAGGGTTTCTGCGTTCAGGGTTTGGGGTTTAGGGTTTATGGGTTGAGGGGTTCTGTGCCTGTCTCTCGCTCTTTCTCTCTCTTTATATCACCTTTTTGCCTGAGTAAGAAACAGGGGTGCAGCCCCCTCCTCTGCTCTCAATGCGTGCCCCGCATTGTATGGGAAGCACAAAGAATAAAGGCGACACCCAAAGCGCGGACCACACCATATGCTGCGCGACAGCTATGATGTAAACGAAGACTGTACAGCCGCACGCACCGTGCTACTTCCATGGCTTCCCGTGCTCTGCGACCGATGGCGATGAGATGCGACGAGACCCGCGCGCACGTTAACATGGCTCGCTACCGCATGCCTTTCCTCCCCCCTGCATCACCGGGAAGCTTCCATGTTCAAGCCCGGCCCCCCAAGCAGTAGGTAAAATCAGGTAAGTATTCCCAGGGATATTGTTCCAGAACTCGGTGGGCCCCCTGAATAATGAAACAAGGATCCCCGCACATTCTTCACCCCAGTCCCAGGGAACAGGTCACAGCAAGGAGTGCACTCACGATGTGTCGTTTCGTCTGCATGTTTTGTATGCGAAGTTACTATGTTTGGGGGGGTCTGGATTGACCCTGCCGGGGGTCTGGATTGCTCCGCGGAGCACCTCAGACCTTCGGCCGAATTGGTCTGCAGAGCCGGGTCTGAAGTCCCCCTCCCCAGTCGCTGCGTGCTTGCACACTCGCACAGTCGCAAGCACGCATGCCGTTTCGTACAGCCCATATATCAACCCATGTTAGTTACATCTACATTTTAGTTTTGCGGAAGCTTGCACCCACCCATTTTAGGCTAGATCAAACCACTTAAATAGGGTTTTAACTTCGGCTGGCAGTAGCAAGGGGATTATGCGAATTTTTGGCAGCTTGGTCCAGTGCCCAGGTTTAGAGGGCAGATCCATAGCCAACACAGAGCAAGTCCATAGCCAGCATAGGGTCTAAAATGTTTTTTCCGGATTGCTGCAGTTCCTAAGGAAATAGCACCATGAGGGGTCTAAAATGGCCGCCCAAGCCCCCCCCCCTTACACCCTGAGGGGATCTTAAAACTACCCATGAACCTCCAAGTGAGGTTTAAGCACATCCAGAGCACGGCTCGGGGTCGACAGCGCTCTGCAGAATAAACAGGACCCCCGCTTCTTTGTCGTAGTTGGGTAACATTTTACATTTTTATGGGTACTTAAACCCAATAAGGAATAAAAATATAATTTTTTATCCGATCCCAACAATGAGCTAGGCTTGTTCATGGTTTTCACAGGGGGTCACGGGCCTTACCCAATAGAGCGTGTTGGGTGTTCGCCATTGTTGCATTGGGGCTGTCATGGGGTAGAGGTTGTTCCCAAATTCAGGCGGTTTGTTACAGGCGTTGTAGTGTCTCGAAGTCTTTTCAGAACCGCTAGCGGCAACAACAAGCCGAGCCCGGGACTCTTCTGGCGTTCTTGGGTCTCTATGGTAGTTCGCTAAATTGGGATCCCACTTTAAGTTCCCAAAACAGTACGGCACCCTTACAAAATGGACCCTAAAAGCATTTAGCGAACTATCCACACAGATGAAATCTTCATCACAGGCCCTCGGCTCCAAACAAGCACTGACTCGCTTTCCCTCGAGCAGGGAAACAGAGCAACAAATCTTTCAGGACTCCCCTCTGTGGCCTTCTACTCTTCTTTCAGGGAGTGCTCTTGACGGCTCGCTTTTCATTCCAGGAATCGCCGGTTGAAGGGATTACTTCTAAGCCCTATGCCCTAAACCCTATGCCCGAAGGCCTGATTCCCTAAACCCCGCTAAATTAATCCCCCTATATGACCCCTATACTACTAACCTCTTAAGTTCCCTGAAGCGGTTAAGCGACACCTGAAGCCCTGAGATTCTGCGGCCAGGACTCGGAATGTGAGCAGAACCAGAATATCCCCGCTACTGCAGAGAAGGTCACAATAGGGCGGCTGACGTCCTCAGATGAAAGCCCTTCAACGGAGCTTAGGGCTTAAGGCTTAGGGCCTATCGATGGGTTGAAGGTTTACGTTTTGGGGACACTTAGCTTGAGCTTCAGTCTTTGGGTGTAGGGGCACTTCGATTAAGTCGAGCGCGTAAGCACCCGGGTCCAATCGTCCTTTCGGCTCCCGAAGGTCTTCCGGGGGAGCTTCACGGGGCAATCCTTAAAGTGATGGTGCTTTAATCCTAGAATAAGGGCCCTTTTCGCTTGGAAACTTCTCTCGTTCGCAATCTGCTCCTTGGGTTTGGTTGTGGGTTTGTTTGTAGCTCGAAGGAACCCACCAGAATCCCGAAAGCCCAAACACGTAGGAAAGTGACCTGCTGTGGGTTGGTGCCTTTTTGTGCATTCGCCATGAAAGGAACTCCGAGGGAGGCCATGCTCCGATGCTCGAATCTGTACTTGGGTAGTTGCCTACAGTAGCGTCGTTTTGAGGGTCCCTTCCTTTTGGGTTCCTGAAAAGACCTTCAGTTAGAGAACTATGACCGCAAACCGACATGGGCAATCTACCTAGGCGATCAATCGATGCCCGTCTGTCAGTTTGTCAGCCAGTCAGTTTGTCTATATGTATGTGAAGTATGTGCGTCTGTATGCCTGTATGCATGTATGGACGGGTGGCTGGCTGGCTGTCTGGCTGGATGATGGTGTATGTATGGATACGGTGTGTTTGTATAGATGGATGATTGGATCTGTCTGACGGACGGACGGGCAGACAGATGGACGGATGATGGATGCATGAATGATATATGCATGTATACCTGCATGCACTTGTGTTTCTGCGCATGTATGATTTTTGCCTGCGTGCCTGTACAAGCTCGAACAGGCCTGGGCCCATGAGCCCTTACTCGTCCTTTCGAGCCAACCCTAAATCCTTATCTCTCTGTATAGCCAGGTTTTCAAGTCATTCTAACTTGGGAACCTGAGCTTTGCAATTTTTCATTGGTATATCGAGGCAGAAAGAGAGCAGCTCCCTCAAATAGATGAAGGCTTTGCTTCGTTTCTCCGTGCGTCATTTTCACTTTGCGAGACTTCGCAGTGCGAGACATCGCTTCTGAGAGCCCTCAACCCTGCATTTCATACCTAAACCCTAAGCCCTAAGCCCCAAAACCTAACCCTAAACCCTAAACTTAGAACTTAGGCCCGCAACCCTACATCCCCTACGACCGAAGTCCTCCACCCCTCAACCCTAAACCCTACGAGACTGAGTTTCGGAAGCACTGGCCGGTGTAAAGAACTGCCATCCGAGCGATCTCGGCCGAAGCCGGGGCCGAGCCGTAGCTACGATAAACTGTCTAAGCTATGTGAGGTTGCATCGGGTCATACTAGCTTACATGAGGTTGTATCAGGTTATACAAGGTGACACACACTTGAGGGTCGTGGTCTTATTCTAAACACGAGTTCCACCGTTCCAGAACTCCCTTAAACAAGGCAATATACGGCAACGCCAATCGATAATTCCTGGGTTTCCGCGATCGGGTCCAAGCTGGCGAGCCACCCGGGCGCGGCTTTCTGAAACGAAGTCTGGCACCTGCCAGTCTCTGCAGCCGCCCTTTCACCCAGCTCAGATCTCTCTGAAACGGAAGCTCCAATTCTTCGAGTCGTGGTTGTTTCAAGGGATGTTGTCTTGAGGATTGAGGTAGCGTCCGCAACTTCCGAGAGTTATTCATACAGGCCGCGAGCTTATGACCTTCCTAGGGGAGATCTGAGCACCGAATGCTGGACTGGTTGCGCGTGAGACGTGTTTTTGCTCAGAGTTTAGAGTCTTTGCCGGTGAGCTTTGCAGTATGGTCGATGGTCGGATAGATAGATAACTAGATAGGAAGGTAGATATGCAGGTGGCTAGGCCTATGTGTGTGTGTGCAGATCCAGTGTCGAAAGCCTGGTGACTTTAGGCCTCATGCGCAACTTCGCAGTGCACGGGATGACGCGGCTTTCCCAGCCAAGTCTGCGCTCCATCAACCCTGAACCCTCAAAACTCAAACAACCCAGTTCCTGCAATCTCCTTAGACCCTGAACCCGAGACCCTTCAATTCTTGAGCCCTAAATCTGCAACACAGTGAAGAATATTGCCCAAACCTTGGCCCCAAGCCTGAATTATGCAGAACTTTCATGTTTTCAGCTCAACCCCGTAGCAATCACCGCACCCCCATCCACTCCACCCCCAGCCTAACAACCCTAAACCTGAAGCCGTAAGCTCTACTTACGCTGCATTTGGCAACCCAGAGGTCGAACTTTGGCGGAAGAGTGTGAACATAATGTTTTGACCTAGAGCTCACGTTGTGTGTGGAGCCTGCGAAGAGACAGGGCTCGTTGCGTCATCTTTTAGTGGGTGGTCTCGGACTGCGAGAGCAGGTTCCGCCTCTCTAGCCCGACATCCTAAACCCCAAACCCACTATATCTTGGTTTAGGGATGTTTTAGGGCTTAGGGTTTAGGGCCTTTTGGGTTTAGATAAACCTCTGTTGACTCAGGGTTGCAAAAGGTACCTGGCCCTCATTCAGGCCGGTGGCCATCCCAATGTCACGCCCTCCGACATTCCTTGAACGGGGCCCTTCCGAATGGAAGCCCCTTCACGCGAAACTCACGACGAGGAAAATGGAGCCTTTGCTGGTGGTACCCTTAAAGTAACCCTTACCCTCAACCCCAGACCATAAACTAGTAACCCTCATAGAAACCCATACAATAAGCCTTATCGAAACCATTAGAGCAACCCATATACTTATGCAGATGGCAGGCAGTGAAGCCTATCGAAACCCTTATCGTAAAACTCTGTTTTGCCGGGTCAAGGTTGGAGACGACAATGCCTCTAGATCCTGTTAGCCTTGATCTTCGGCCCTACACCAGGAGCGGTTTAGGGTTCGGGGTTTAGGGACTAAATACACCTAAAGCCTACCAGTCTCGGAAGGCCCTTCGGTCAAGCAGGTGTGGTGCTTTCGGATTTCAGGGGCAGCGCTAGATGGAGTTGCCTCTAAGCCCCATTTTGCGAGCAGACTTTGGCCAACGGGCATGCGAAGGTGGTGACACCACACTGTGGAGTTGCATCAATCTTCTTCTCGTATGAGCACCCCCCTCCCCCACCCCGCACCATGCGGACACCATGAGGTTGCAGCTCTCTGGAACCCTTTCACAGCTCTTATGGTGTCCTTACAGTCACGCATGTATTGTAGCCACCCCTATCGAAACCGGCATAGTAAGACTTACGGTATACTTCAACTTCTCTCGGCCACTTGGTTCACACGTTTTTCCAGGGTCTCTCGATGTCGAGGTTCTCATGCGCCACGTCCTTTTCTTGTCCTCACAGTGAAGATCAGCTTAGGCTTCTGGGTTTACGGTTCAGGGTTGAAGCTTTGGGGTTTAGGGCTTCGGGTGTGTAGGGTTTCGGGTCGACGGACGATCTGGAGTGTTTTTCCGTGTCTCTCAGCTTCAGTATCCAGCCGACCCGAGGCCTTGATGGTGACCTTCGAGACCCAGGCGACTGTGACTAGGGTTTCGGGTTCAGCGCTTAGGGTTTAGGGTGCAGGGTTTAGTGCTTCGGTGTAGGGGAGTCCTTCTCGGTTTGCGTTCTGTGCCTTTGCTGTGCTGCTGGCATTCGTGAGAGTCCAGTTGTAGAAGGGTGATGACTCTGAGTCTGAGTTTCCGGAAATGACGGAGCCTCCCTGCATTTTGGTGAGCTCTGAACCAAGCCCCAAGCCACACCATAAACCCTGTCCGGAGCCTTAAACCCTGAAGAGGGAAAAAGCCTTCATAGCTTCAGGGCGTTTAGGATTCGGTTTTAGATTGGGGAGTTCATGGGTGTCGGATTTTTGGCGACATTATTGCAGGGGTTAGTGACATAAGCTCTATGGTACCTTATCTTCCAATGTAAACCCGAAGCCCTAAGCCCGAAATCAGTCAGACCTGAAGCCTCGCCTGGAGTGTCCGAGTGGCAACCCTTGCGTCCAGAATCGCCAAACCCTATAAACTGCACACCTGGGTATCTCCTTGCATCTCGAAGGATACCCTAAACCCGGAACACAAAACCCCCAAACCCCAAACCCTAAATCTACCTGCAGCTGAAGGAAGCATTTAACGCTAGCCCTCTCGGCTTGAAGCCGTGGCTTCAAGCAAGTCCCCGACTCTAATGCCAGTACTGTCGGGGC